AAATATGAAGTCAAGCGTACTCTTCCTTCCTTCAGGATTACTTGCCCAATTACTGTCTGTATACCCAACAAGGTTGCAATTATCAAGAGATGAATACAAGATATCATGACTTTGAACACCTTTTACGTATCGCATGATTCGCTTTGCAGCTTGCAAATGAGATTCACTTGGAGTCTCCATAGGTCCAGATGTAAACTACCTACAAGACTTCGAAAATAAGTTGGATCAACAAATTCACCATTGCCATTTTTATCCAAATGAAATCTTTCTTAAGCAAGAGTTTTGATGGGATTGCATGATTCCATCTTAAATCGCTTAAGAATGTCTGATGCATATTTATTTTGTGAGATAAATATTCCTCCATTAGTCTGCATCACTTCTAGTCCAAGAAAATAAGATATAAGTCCCATATTAGTCATTTCAAAGTTGCTAGTTATAGCCTCCTTAAATTCTCCAAACATACTTGGATCATTTCCTGTAAAAATCAAACCATCCACATACATGCATATAATAATTATATTTCCAAGTGAATTAGATTTGATATACAATGTGGGTTCGTAAGGACAGTTAAGAAAACCATGTTCTTGGAATATGTGTCAATCTGAGTGTTCGAAGCCCTTAGCACTTATTTTAACCCATAGAAAACCTTTTTTAATCTGAGAACTTTTCTTCATGACCTTTCTGCACATAACCATCTAGTTGATCGACATAAACCTCTTCTTCGAGAAAACCATTTAAAAATGCGGATTTCACATCCATATGATGTATCTGCCATCTCTTTTGAATGGTTAGTGCAATCACCAAATGAAAGTATCAAGTCGAGCTACAAGTGCAAAAACTTCACAATAGTTAAAACATGCCTTTTGCTTGTACCCTTTCACAACCAATTGAGCGTTCGACTGATCGACTTGACCATCTATTTTGAACTTTGTTTTGTGTAAACCCATTTCATGCCAATTGATTTCTTTCCATGTGGAAAAGACGTAAGTTCCCATCTGTTATTTTTTCATCCATCGCACGAACCCATTTATCATCTTGAACTGTTTCTGCAAAAGTAAAAGGATCACAATATGCAAATAATGCAAAATTAGCTAATTCTTCATCAGAAACATCATTATTATTGGTTATGATATAATCTTGTAAATGAGATGGCATAACGTACTTTCTAGCTGATCCATGAGGCACTTCAATATGAACCGAAGAAGAAGTAGAATGATATGTAGTGCTGGAATTCTGAATATCAGACTGCAAATTAACAATATTTGTTGGATTTCTCTTCTTTACCAGGCCTTTTCGTAAAGCCTCCCCCTCACAATGAGGTGGGTCCGACCTCAATAAAAAAACCCCTCAAAAATGTACGCCTCCGCCCCCCCTTCCCCAATGTAAGAGAGCCGGGTACCGGCCTGTGAACCAAAGCCTGGTACCCCAGCTCGGCTCATATTTGTTTCATCTAGATATCAGACTGCATAACACCAATATTTGTTTCATCTAGATTAATCCCCACATGTTGCTTCTCCTTAGTTGTCGTAGCCCAGGCCTTAGTTTCATCAAATTCTACATCTCTGCTCAAAATCACTTCACATTTTTCTGGTTCAAACAATTTATAACATTTAGTTGTATTACTATAACTAATAAAAATGCATTTTGTACCTTTACAATCAAACTTTTTACATTTCTCACCTGGAATATGAGCATATGCAATGCAACCAAAGACTTAAAGAGCTTGAACATCCGGCTTATGGTTACTCCATGCCTCTTCATGTGTATTACGAACACTTTTTGTAGGACACTTGTTTAAATTGTAAACAGCACATGCCACACTGCCTTTGCCCAAAATACTTTTGGTATTTTTTTCCCTTTCAGCATACTACGTGTCATTTTGACTATTATATCGTTCTTCCTTTTAGAAATCCCATTCCGCTGCGGCGTATAGCTGGCTGTAAGTTGATGCTTAATTCCATGAAATTTGCAAAAAATAGAGAATTCATTTGAAGTATATTCAGTTCCTCTGTCTGTACGCAGCACCTTTAAAGAACCACTTTTTTTTCCCTACACATAGGCTTTAAAGCCTTTAAATATATTAAAAACTTCAAACTTTTGTTTCAAAAAAGGGACCCAAGTTCTCCTACTATAATTGGAAAATCGGCGTTTTAATTCCCTGAAGCAATGTATACGGCCGCATGGGAGACAACGCTATGCGATCGCATAGTGTTGTATAACTTCCAAAATCAGCGTTTTAGTCCTCCAACTTGGTTTGCTCAACTCTTGACCTCTTTCCTTGTTTCTTCTTCATCCAATGTTTTATTCCTCAGCTCAATTTGACCTCAACATCTTCGCATCTTCATTTCTTCTTCTGCTTCATTTTTTGATTATTTGCATCTTGGTCCCTGAACTTTTCTTTTCCTTCATTTTTGGTCCTTTTCCCACTCGTTTCTTCTTATTTCATCTACATTCACCACGTTGTCCTGCAAAACGTAAATTACATAGAATTAAGTTATATTCCAACATATTAATCAACTATTGTCGATGTTTTGGTAGTAAAATAAGTGTGTAAAAATGCACTTATCAATAATCATCTATGAAGGCAAGAAAATAATGATTACTTTCATGTGATTTAGTCTACATTGGTCTACAAATATCCGGGTGCACAAGTTCACTGCTGCGTTATTCTTTGTGACTTGCTTACTGGGAAAGAGCCCCTATGCTGTTTTCCAAGAACAATTCACACAACTGATTAAAGTTTTCCAATAAAGGTAGCCCTGTAACCATTTTTTTATTTGTCAACAACCTTAAATTGTTGAAGTTCAAATGACCAAAACGCAAATGTCATAGCGAATTTGTATCCAAAATGGCAGCAATAAAGGAAAAATACTTTTTCAGCTTGTAATGATAAAGGAAATATGCGACTTTTAGTCATCTTAACTTTGGCAACATGTTCATTTTTCTGATTCATAATAGTGCAAACTCCTATGTCAATCGTGATTTTAAGTCTCATTTTAGATAGTTTTCCAAAACTCAATAAATTCCAGTGCAAAAATAGGAACATAAAATACATCAGAAATATGCTCATATGAACCATCTTTTAGTTGTATCATGATTTTACATTTTTCCATAATTGATACCTTGGCTTTGTTTCCAAAGTTTACTTCTCCACTTACCGTTTCATCCAACTGAGAAAATAATTCCTTCTTCTCACACATGAGATTACTACATCCTGTATCCAAATACCATTCTCCAAGGTTTTCTTTTGAAGAAGTACTACAAGCTAACAACAAATTTTCTTTCTCCTACACCTCATCAGCATAATGAGCATGCTCAAAAGTTCTTTTATGCAATTTAACTTTATAATCTGATCGATCATGGCCATATTTCTCACAACGAAAGTATTGAATTTTGGACTCGTCAACATGCCTTTTATTTCCATAAGTATGCTGGACAGAATTCATTTTCTCAAAATATGTAGTACTTTTGAGTCATTTTCTATCATTGAGACTACCATCGAAATTGATTGAACTAGTCAAATTAACCTTGCTTTAAAAAACTTGTTCCACAACATTTATTTCTTGTTTATTCATTCCATGTTCATGAAAACACAATGAACTCTACAGCCCTTCAAAAGTCATGGTTGAAAAGCCCCTTCCTTCTTCAATTGTAGTAACCACATAATTAAAACGGCTTATTAATGACCTTGTAATTTTTTCAACAAGCAATTCATCTAACTTTTCACCATTAACCCATAGTTGATTAACCACAGACTAAACTCGTGGAATATAATCAGAGACAATTTTAGAATTTTTCATTGAAATATATTCGAATTCACCTATTAAGGTTTACAACCTTACACTCTTCACATTTTCATCAGCTTTGTAGGATTTTTGCAACATTTCCCATGCCTCTTTAGCTGTAGTTGCATTGGAGATTTTCTTGCCGACGACCTCATCTATAGATCCGTAAAGGAGAAATAAAGTCTTCTTATCCTTTTTCTTGTTCTCCCTCAAGCCCTTGAGTACGAGTTGCTACAGCAACTTGATCTGCTGGTTCTGTATATCCATGTTCAATAATCTCATACAGCTCTTGAAAGATAAACAAAACATTCATCTGGATATAGAATTGATCAATTTTTTCCCACTAAACCTCAGAAGTTGAGGCTGGATTGACATGTTCATTGTTGTAACCTGTTTTCTAGCAATCTAGAACAACAAAAGAAGCTTGGGATATTTGAGGCTCTGATACTAGATGCATGAAATTAAATTCAGAATAATTTCACAACACGTGATCTTTAGAAAGAAAGAAAGGGGAAAAAGAAAGGAAGGAAGATTTCTTATTAATGAATTGATGATAAAAAAAGAAGTACAATCGTCAGTTATTTATAGCCAATTACAAGCTCAACAAATTGAATCAAAAATCCCCCAAAAAACATAGCTAATTGACCTAGCCATGTCATCAAACTGAAACATGAGGCTCGGGCTAGGGTTGAGCAAAAAATGTTCGAGCTTTTTTTTGCCCGAGCCGAGCCGAGCAAAAACTCGGCCAAAAAAATTGAAGCTCAACCTTTAGCGGCCGAACGGGCTCGATTTTTTTTCCTCTCTCTCTCTCTCTTCTTGTGTGGAGAGAACTGTTGCACGCATCTTTGCCTATAGGCAGCTAATTCTATTTTTTTTTCCTTCTTCATATAGCTGCCTGCAAGCCTACAAAGTTGCAGGCAACTATTTTCAATTTTTTTTATAGGCTCGAGCCACACGGATTGGTTCGGGCTCGAGCCTTTGCCCTAAAATGGGGCTCGGCCTGAGCTTCGGCTCAGTGGTTTTGAACCACGAGTTGGCTAGACTCTGGCTTTCTCGGGTCGAGCAACGGACGGCTCGAGCCAACGAGCCATTTTGCAATCCCTAAATTGACCAACTAAAACGCTACTTTATTTGCGTAAACAGAGTCTTTAGCACAATCAACGTCAACCTTGACTCAGCTAAAGAAGAAAAGACCGTTTAAGTTTAATTTCCAACATGCACAAAGTCCCGAAGAGTATACTATCAGTTTCTGCAAATTTTGCTTCTCAGCAATTTCAGTATTCCAATCCGGATGTCTGGGGCGTGCTCACCGCAATATCCGAGAAAGCCCGGAAACTCCACCAGCTCCACCACGCCTTCAAAGTTCTTGATATTTATACTAATATGTTAATTTATAATAATGGCAGATTGCACCCTGTCATTTTCACTGGGACCGTGGAATAATTGTTTTTTTTATATTAATTTTTCTCTGCATTGCCAAAGGTAATACTTTTGCGAATTGAAGTGTGCAATTGTGGAATACTTCTAATTTTGGTGTTCATATTGAAATACTTTGTTGTGCGTAAGTTCCTTCTGAGAGATTCTTGAAGTTCACCCTTAGTGTGCTATGGGAATTTTGATTTTTATATTGCAGTGTTCAAAGAGTGAAAATTTTATCTTAATTCGGTGAAGCGCCTGCATTAGTACCATCATGTTTGTTACCACTGCACGATTCTTGAATCTCACCGTGGTTAATTTGGTTCACTGTTACAATTCTCAACTTTTATCATGTAGTTGTCTGCAATTTCAGTTTGAACCTTGAGGTTTTAACTTTTAATGCACCAATAGTTGGTATAGAACTTTAATTTGAACAATTTTCGCACTCTGGTTGAAAATTCTTATTGACAATTTGTATGACCTGCAAATTATTGATTTTTATCCTATTTTACGAATTACCATTTTTAGTTTGTTATCTATGAAAAAATAACGTTATTATGAATTTATGGAATGTCTATTGGGATTACTTGCAATCTACCAATGTTAGTGCACATGACATGCAAAACAATTTAGAACATATGACTCTGACGTTATTTTAGTATAAGGAAAAATAATATTATTTCCATCATTGGAATGTCTATTTGATATTGATGCAATCCTTCAGTGTTATGACAAGTGAAACAACTTAGAACATATAATTGGGGAAGTTATCCCAGTACCTAAAACTTTAGCTTTGCTCTGACTGTAGCTTTGAACTCCAGCAGCTTTTGATCAAATGCTACAACCACTGTTTTGGTCTCTATGGTGGACACTGACCTACACTGTTGCCCTTTTATGCTTTAATTTTTTTTTTTGATGAAATCCTTCGCAACAAAGATGTGATTTAAGTATTGGCCGACATATGTATAATGTATTGCTATAACAGGGCATGAATATGCTTCTAACTTCAGATGAACACTGTATTGGTCGATTAGTAGATGATTCCCGTTTCCCGATTATCTCACCTGCAGTTAGCGCACGTCATTGCAAGATTTACAGGAAAAGGGTTGCTGCCGAGGATAAGAAATATCCCTCCAACGACTGTACTTCCATTTTCTTGAAAGATTCTAGGTTGTATGTTAATTTGTTAAGCTTTCTCGATACAATCTGGTGTCGTGTATAGATTTTTCTGGCATTTAAATTTTTCGTCAGCACGAATGGAACATATTTAAACTGGGAGAAGTTGAACGAAAGTAGATCTGAAGCAAAACTGCACCATGGAGACATAATCTCAATAGCATTTACTCCACAACATGGTAAAGTTGGTGCTTAGCCTTTTTAAAGTTCATTCTTATTAGAGTGGATCATTTTAGGTGAAGCCGTACATTCGTACCTATACTTAAAAAGGTGAAGGTCCATTTAGTGGTCAAAGTTCACCTGGTTTCTTGTGGGAAGGTCTGATTTTTGTTGTCTGGATGTCAAAATTTAAGATGTTTCAGAGCCAACTAACTACAGGGCCAGTGACAATCTCCTTTGGGTAATTGTAGCACATCTTCACTTCTTAAGTAGATATTGCAAATAGACTCAAAGCCGAATGGTCTACATCAGATTCATTTTCTGAGTTTTTATGAAAAAATCAAAGTGAAGCAATTTTTCGAGGTGTGAGGATGGATTTTAATTAATATTTGATTGTTTCAGTCAGCAGACATCTATATCTGAATTAAAATCCTTATTAGATGAAGAACGGATCAGAGAAAATAAAACTGAGAGAAATCTGCAGTAGATATAAAAGCATCAATACATAGAGTCCAGGCTTTTTATCTGAGACTTAGGAGGAAATAAAACGAATATCAGACGCTGCATTGAGACGAGAGAGAGCAGCAAGAAGTTATAAATAAGCCTCAGGTAGAAATTTTTGATTTATTCTATAATTGTTGCTTTTTCATGTTTATGGCAATTAGTTATTACATGTTTGGCTGTTTTTGATTCCAGGAAGCAAAGAAGAAAAGGTGTTCATTAGGGGAAACTTTGAGGTCCAAATTTGTATGCTATAATTACACATTAGAATTGTGCTACTTGTACATCACCCCTTACACAAGGGGTGACATAATGCACAAGTGGCGCCTCCTCATTGGAGGGGTGCCTCGGCCCCACGATTTCATGATATTTAAATCCTCAAGCTTTTAAATATATAGCACNGATCGCGAGAAGGTAATATTTGCAGTTTTATAAGTGAATCTCTACAAGAACCACAACTCTTACAGCCATTGGTCTAAACAATTGAATGAAAATGCCTATAAAATGCTACTTGTAAAATAAAGTAGATAAAAAAAGTAATGAATACCTACACAACAAAGAGGAAGAGCATGGGGGTGGGGGTGGGTGGGGAACTCACCTTTGTGTTGATGTAAAATTGACACATACGTGAGGACGGCTAGCACTTTTGCATGTGAATTAAATGGAGCAATTAGTGGTAGCATGTGCTGGATTTTAGAATTTAAATTGAAGTTTATCTACAGAACCATATAGTCCCAAAAATGAGTAATTTGCACAATGAAAAAGAGTTTTTGTTTTTCAAACTGAGTTTTCCTTGCTGTTGTAGCAGGCGGCTCGTGAAGAAGCACTGTGAAGGTGTCTGCTCTAGAACTCGAAATCAATTGATTTTGAGAGGTGTAGATTAAAAGGGGCTAGGGAAAGAATCATGCTGCTGTAGGATCTCAATATAAGTGACTCGTATAATTATATGTTGGTTTTATTACATGTTAAGATGCTAAATAATAATAGGAAAGTGAAAAACAAAAATTCCTCGCCTTCCCTGACAGCATGTTGACTGTTCTGCAAATAATTATATGTTGATTTAGCATGTTAAGACGATAAAAATTATAGGAAAGTGAAAACAAAAAATCCTCAACTTCCCTGAAAAGGATGACTGCTCTGCTATTGTTTTGCTGGTTTATCATTTTCCTCTTTATTTTCACTCTTGAAAGAGTTTCAAAATTTTGGGATGCAGTGTTCGGTTTTGTTATGATAAAATCTTTATTAACAAGTGAAGGGAGTGTGATAATTGTTTGGTAGACATTAAATCACCCGCCTCCTGAAGGCCCATAATATGTAATTTATTCTCTGTGTTTCCTGAATTTTTTGGACTACTAAATAATTCTATGATTATCTGGCACGTTGAGCAAGATAAAGGAAAAAAACTAAAAAAAATTAAGAGAGAGATGGCTCTTGCTGGAGCTCCTCTCACCAAGTTTTTTTAATGCGTAGGACTGTTAAGTCGGACATATGTATGAATTGGCTGGCTGTGAATATTACAAATATTTCTGCGAGAAGCTTGATTTTTCTGTGATGCGTCTCTTATGTTTCCCAAATTTGAGTATTCAAGTTTTAGTAATGGTTATCAACATTGCCCGGCTTTGGTGCAGTGAAACACAGCTTCGGCCTTTCTATTCTACGACACAGGAGATATCAATGTTGTTTGCAAAACAGCAGGAACAGCTTAAGTCAATGCAAAGGACATTAGAAGATGAAGAGAATTATGAGACGACTTCAGCTGACATTGACCTCAATCCAAATATTGTAAACGTGAATGGACCAGTCATCAGAAACGAAGTGGAATATCTAAGTAGCAATGGCGGCAAGGCTGGATCCAGTACATCTCCGCATAGAGGTGGCGAAGTTCAAGTTGAGTCGTCAAGAGATGAAGCAAGTGTCACCAAGAAGAATGACTGCACTGCCAAAAGCCAAAAAGACGGTGAAGACACGCAAGAGGTAGAATTTACAGGTGACGAACGTAATGTTAAGGGTGGCTTTAGTTCTGATATTAATGGTGTTTGCACAGCACCCATTTCGGAGGGAAATGCAGTTGGAACTGAGCAAATACCCGAGACAGAAGGTGTCGAGGTAGTACCCAATTTGGAAGGAGAGTGTTGACACTGAGCGAGGTTTAGAGACTGAAAGCCACGGACTTGATAGTGGCAGGAATATAGATCTAAACAAATGCAGCACGTTAGCTGGGGATACAATGCAATTTGATGATGAAACCAATGCTGAAGAAGCTCAGGAAAATGCCATGAAGCAGACCTTACATCACTGCCAACCAAATAGCCCACTCCAGGATCAGAACCCAATGGAAGACACAGAAGCTGGAGGCACTATCGGAACTGCTGTACTTTTGGCTTCAGAAGTTGTGGGTAGCTGGGCGTGCAGCACAGCTCCTTCTGTCCATGGCGAAAATTATTTTCCTACGAGTGAAGACAAAATGATGAAGAGGGTGCCACAGCTATACATGAGTCCAGTAGTCTGGTAGCTGAGAGTCAACGCATCCCGTCATCCAAGTTGGATGCCGCTGCCAGATGAAATCATGAACGTCGAGTGCTGTGCCAAATGATTTGGGATTGTTGATCCTGATTTGAGAGAGCAGTTCAGTCATGGTGCCATAAGTGGCGATGATCAAGATACAGGTGAAAGAGAAGGGACTTCTGATTCTGATACAGAAGACTGCTCCGATAATGATGACGACAACAAAATTGATTCTCAAGGTGCATCTGACGCTGAAACAGCTGGTAGCGACCAAGCTAACGAGGATCCTAGATGTGATGATGAAATAGATGAAGACGATGAAGCCACTCAAGAAGATTCAGTTGGATAGCAAGCATGTCATAGAAGGTGAAAGTTACATTGGTTTTAAATAATTGAGAGGGGTTTAATTTGTGTTTGACGGGAGATCAATATTCTAGTAGGGGAAGCCCAAGTGTCAGATTTGCTACTTGATGCTGTGGTGGAGATATAGGCCCTGTTTGACACCCATTTTTATCTAATTCTCATTCTCATTTTTTTTTTCTCTTTCTTCATTTCAACCACATATTCTTTCAATAAAATAATATTACACACAAATCTAAAACTTTTCCACCTCATAATCTCCCATCAATCACTATTCCAAAAATTTAATTCTCCAAAAAATGGGTTTCAAACACCCTCATATGCTCGCATCAGGTGTATGGTTATCAGATAATTTTTAATCTGGACAGCATGTTGTAGGAATTGAAAAGGACTAAGTTTTCTATCAAACCCTTTCACATGCATATAAATCCCCCACGTTGAAATCAAAGAGAAGATTAGAAGTGGAAGTATACCTTGATCCACAGATATGATTATTTGAACGGGTTATGATCTTCCAATTAATACGTAGTCCCTTAGGAATTTTCTCTGTTGATGGGGATGGAGAGAGATAGAAAAACTCACGTTCAATTGGGAACCATGACCCATGATACAATTCTTTTAAATTGGTCCCTCAACAATTTAAAATAACCGTTCTGGTCTCTACACTTTATTTCCATGACATTTAATACTCAT